TCCAAGCAGTGTTTGCGTGGATATTAGAGTAGGTGAGCATAAAAATCAGATTCTTGAGGAACTGTTGTGCCCCTAGGATGGGAGAGTGAAATGAATAGTTGATCATTAAGGTCAAGTTGACGGCGTCAATTAATCGCTATGACGGATTTTATCAAAGGTTGCATCAGCTTGTAATACGAGGAACTAAAGGTAAAAGATTGCAGTAAATCCCTCGCTGGCAGGGACACTGGCAAGTGACCAATTTCCAGCCTATCTAGATCCAGCAAATGATTGTCACAAGGAGTAAGAACCTACTTAAGCTTCTTTTTAAGACGCCTGATTTCACTGCAATTGAGCTAATGCTCTGATTCCAATAAATTTTATCACCCTTAATGTTAGTAGGTGTTGAAGGAAGATAAACTTAATTTGTCCCAAATTGTAAAATGATCGAAAGCTGAATTGAACTGTATGCCTCGGAGTTTCATGCCACGTAAAACAGGGCGTACGGTAGATATTCATTTCCATCATCTCAGCTTCAAGGAATATTGCCACAATCCTTTAGGCAAACGCAGTCCGAAAAAAACTGAGTCACACAATGACATTATCACGCTTACCAAACGAGTATCAATACCTAAGTGAGGCTTTGTATTCTATTTGTTCAATTTTCTTATGATTAGTTTTAGTAGTAGAAATCTACGTGAAAGTCACAGTTGATTGTTCTGGCGGCAAGTCGGAGGTCTTAATCAATACCATAGAAGTTGGCGTAAGTACGGAGCTTGCTTTCTTTCATTACAATGGTTTCTAACATCATTTCGTGGCTGCTCTTATCTGGAAAGACACTCAAATATATTTCAACGCGCCGTTTGATGGACAATGAGAAATCTAAATGAATTCTAGATGAGGGGAAAAAAGTGAAAGTTGAGTAAAAGGGAAGAAAAAGATCTTCACTCCAAACTCGAATAACCTTTAAATAATCTGGACATTTTTAACCTGGATATTTTAAATTGAATAGCTGGTAAAATATCATTTCTCACTGTATATAGATTTTTGTCACATTCAGGAATTTTATGAATTATTTGGGGTTGAAAAGAGTCTAGGTCTGTAATTGGCTCAGGTGTCCCATTCCAACCTCTCACTACCTATATATATATATATGCGCACATTTCCCTTGAGGCCATTGGGTCTCATCACTGACATCTCTTACTTTTTAAGTGTGAATGCTTTGCAATCGAGTGTATATATATTTTAAATGTATTACCTTGCATGAACTCGCTGATTTACCCATTTTATTTTTTTCCTTTTTTGAAAAAGTCTATAACAAACCGCAGGATGGTTTGATTTTAAGTTTTATGCACACCGAATGCAAAAGTAGGTCACGAAACCTTACGTTCTCCTCTCTCGTAATCACTCACACGTTTTTCCAATCTACAGTTTTTAAAAATCCTCATCAAAGTAGGATTCAGACCCTGTGGAGCGGAAGTTAAGAGCGCCACCTGCAATTCTCCGTTTGAAGGCAAAGTTATGCTGTCACTGCACCCTGGAGGACCCTCTGGAATTACGATCGAGCAAGTATTTAAGGATGGACTTCAACAAGGCGCATTTGGCTACGATATAAGAGCAGATAACACAGTATACACTCTCGAGTTTCAAGGTACTTCTTTCAACTGCATGTAAAATTACTCGTTAATTTTCATAGTTCAACTTCGAGATGTCTGAGATGAGTCACGGTCCCGGTACTTCACAAAGTCAAGGCTGACAGATAAGCTTCCCGGGAAAAACATGAAACTTTAGCTCGCTGCTTTAAATTTTTTTAAGTGGAAGCTCATCGCGAATTTGAAGAAAAGAAGAACAAAACGAGTGAAACCCCCAAAGGAAAGCTTTTCCTTTTCTTTATTTCACGCGCAAATTTTACAAATGTGTCCCCAGTTAAAAGTGAAATTTACATAGTAATGAAAATCAGAATGCAATAGAGGTTATAAAGAAGCTTTTCTTATTCCAGACCGTATCGTCTGTTGTAGCAACCGAGATACGTGTATCAATTTTACACCTCAGAGATCTGTAGGGTGAGACAAGAGCTCAGCTCTCGTTGAGAATACTTAAGAAGGTCCTCAGAGGCCGATCTATATACAAATCAAGAGGTTTTCTTCATTTACTTATCTAATTGTTTAATGTCAATCTTAAGGTAAGTGATTGATGAGTGTTTTGGAAGTTTTTTTCTAGCGTTTCTAGGCTCTCTTCAGGCAGAGACGCGATTGATGCTTAGCAGTCAGTTGAAACGGCATTAAGTGAGCCTCACGCAGCCATTTCTTACCTCGTCCTCCTTTCTCGCTGTTCCTAATGACGGAACACCAAGTAAAAATACATGCTAAGGTGTACTTACTATTTGATTATATGTAGGAGTTGATATAAAAAAAACGCCCAAACCTGGAGAGTGCGACAGAGTCTGCTGTGATGGAGCAGGCGGGGAATTGCTTGTAGAGGTAACATGCACTCCTGCAGACAAATGTAAAGGTATTGACCTTTCAGACAGGAAAGATGACGGATATTGCCAAGGGGAACCTAAAGCTTATTGCGAGTGCAGTAACGGTAAGGTCTTGAAATTGAATATTTAACAAATAGATTTCGTGTTGCTGGGTTTCTGTTCAGTAATAGATCATAGATTACGTCAAAATGTGGTAAGGACCAAAACACCACAGCAACATGACATTTATTTATTATATATGATGAAAAAAAAGCAAAATGTCGCTAATGGTGACGTCATCTGCTCGTCTGTTCTCCAATATATCATGAGTAAGAACCAATCACTGTGCGTGTGTAATCCAGTTTATCCAATAATTAAGCAAAAAAAAAAAAAAATTCGTTCTATTGCTTTTATGACATAACTAGTTCTGTGCGGGTTCTATAACATGATAAAGCATTCGCTTGGACACTGAATTCACCGATTAGATGATGCGCTCTATCTTCATTATCTTACAACATACAAATATGTAGAGATTATTCACAACCGAGGAAGATGGAAACGCTAGAAAGATCAGGGGAGCTGGTATTCTCATGCATTGCTCAGTTTCCTTCGATTGGCTGACTCAGTGAGTAACAAGATAGTTCTTCGTGAAAGCGATTCATTTTCTTGAAGAGTAGGGGCAGTGTATGGCGTTCAAACTTAAATTTTAGCCATCAACCAGTAGGAACCCAATTTATTTCTACGCATATGGAGTCTAATTGGACAACATAACTCATAATAACTAAATGGGTTTAATTTGATGCAAATAAAGGTTACCTTTGCATTTATTCACCCTCCCTTACTCCGTCATAAATGAAGGACCCCTGAGAAATGCGATTGAATTTGCGACGATAATCTAACGGTTTTCATTTTTGTATCAAGGTTTACAGGACTTGCCAAGTTTCGCTTTAATCGCTGCACTGGGACTCTCATCGTTGATGAAGTAAGTAGCAGGAATGAAATAAATAATTGAGAAAATATGTCACAGGTATCAACAGAAAACAGTAGTACTGTTTTCGAGGTTGTCAAATACACGATACTAAGTCGAAAACAGAAAAACAGAAAGATGCGTTTTCAATCTATTTTATTATTACAAGGTTGCCCGAAATTGTTCATTATAATTAAGCTCTCTTCTCTTGTTTTCCTCAGGTCCATATTCTCATCGTAGCGGCGCATGCTTAATGTATACGTCGGACATCAATTTGGAAACATGACTATTTTTTATGGGCCCACAGTAACAGACACGTCGTGTCGGAGGGAGAGTCTTGCAACAGACAATAGACCTTTTTAAGTTTTATAGGTATGAAGATGAATCATAGAACGACAAAATAAGAAGAAGTGTTTGGCATTTTCCTTAGATATACATGATGTCATTGTAAACCCGACTATCTTAACACGCATGATTCTTTAGTTCCTCTTTTCTATCATCGCCATTCCTGACTGGCATATCTAGCCTGGAGAAGTAAAATACCCTCAAGCAAGGATTTGATATGAGAGATTTGATGTACGAGAGGATCAGTCATGACGATGGACTCTTTGAGTGTCCCGAATATGGTCACAACTACACTCATCATGTCATACCGGTCTGTCTATCTTTCTTGTAATCGAGAATGTTCACCTTGTCATTTTTTCGATGGAGTAATTGATGTCTTTGATCTGTCACAAACAGTGCATATCAAATCCAGAAGACCTTCTTGAATCCATTGCATGAATCAGCAACTTTCCCTTCAAATCTTTTTGATCAAAGACGGTTTGTAAGAGTTTTCGGTGTAAATATTATAGGTAAAAAACCAAGTATACATGTGTTTCGTTGAGTAGATGTCATGCGTAGAGGCTCAAAGCGCGGATCTATTGCATTTTCATGAAAAGCGAGAAAGTACATAGAGTTATTTTTTATATCCGTTCGATGATGCTTAGTCCCTACGTCATTATTCAAGATCCTATTTAGGATTCATTTTTGAACGTATGCGTCTGTTTTATTCGCAAATTTTTTTTGGTTTCAGTCGTTACTAAAGCTTAAAGCTCATTTAACTGCTATTAGTACATTAATATAAGAGTAATCTTATTCATTATTCTTTATTAGTAGTGTGTGATTTGATTATATGATAACCTTGTTACCGTTTTATTTAGAAGTGTGTGCGCTGAAGTGTGTTCTGTAAATAAATTTAATTAAGAAACCCGTCTACTGCGATTTTGTATTATGCTGTCAAAATCCTAGTTGGGATTCATTTTTGAACGAATGTGTCCGTTTTAGTCGCAACATCTTTTCGGTATCAGTCGTTACTAAAGCTTAAAGTTCATTCATTTACTACAAGTACGTTAATATAAGAGTAATCTGGGCGGATACAGGGGTGGTTCGAGTGGTTCGGTCGAACCCCCTAAATTTTCCCTCAGAACGCTGGAAATCATGTTTCCGAAGACCTAATTTTCAAAATCTTGGACACCTCAGAAGGGGAACAATTCTCCGAACCCCCCCTTGACTAAATCCTGGATCCGCCCTTAATTCTTTATTAGTAGTGTGTTATTTGATTATATGATAACCTTGTTACCATTTCATTTTAGAAGTGTGTACGCTAAAGTGTGTCCTGTAAATAAGTCTTAATTAAGAAACCTGTCTACCCCGATTTTAACAGTATTATGCTGTAACTGAAGTGTAAAATACACTTTCACTTATACAACTAGCTAGCTGAGAATTAGAACGTCTGGTCACGTTTGGACATAACCAGCAACCTCTTATTCCCTAGCGCACCCAGTGCAGCAGCCTCTCTAATCAGAGAAAAACTTACTCGAAGCCTGCACAGTTCATAAAGCCATGCAGACGTAATTTTTGAGGAATAACCTATAAGCTAACGATAACCCGTACACTGCAAATCTTTTTTTATTATGAATTAATATTCGTTTACTTTTATGCCGAAACGCTAAACAGTTTGAATCAAAATATATAGGATTATGCGTATGAATATATGTGAGGTTTCAAAAGCAATGGAAATTTGAAAAAAGCAACAAGCTTTTCACTGGGACCTCTACTCGCCCAAAAGAGCGTGTCAGTTAATTGAAAGGGACATTTTTAAAGAAAATTCTTCGAAAAGAAAAAAAAAGCTTCTAGAAGATTTTATGACTGGAGCTGATAATTTGAAAAGCACAGTTGCTGCTCTATGGGTTCAAGTTAAATTTTAGTTAAAATTTTTCCTTAACGAAACCTCTCCTTACGGAGTATTTCAGTGCTAATGTTAATGTGGCACATCCCCGCCGTGTTTACTTGTCTCAGCCAAGATAGCGCTTTATACAAAATTGAGCAGCTAAAGGAAAAGAGTGTGTACATAGACTGTTGAGATTGAAAAATGCGACCTTTACGCTTTTCATAGACTAGCTCATTAATTGTGGTCAAAATTTTTGTTTTATTTTAACCAGAGCAGAGAGATCTGGATAGTTAAACTTATTCGCTGATTTTTTCACCCAACTCTCTATAGAAAGAGAGCAAGTTTCTAAAGATGAACTGTGGTGCTGCGTCGGTGTGAGTAACAGGGTATTTGGGTTTTATCAACCACCGTAAAGAGTTTTAAGCTGACGTTTCAAGCTTTAGCCCTTCGTCATTCGCTCGGACGAAGGGCTAAAGCTCGAAACTTCGGCTTTGAAGCTCTTTACGGTGGCCAAACTACATTATCAACTCAGTTGATAAAACCCAAACTCTCTAGGTACCTTTGCGACGAGGAATTTGCCTTACAAAGTTTTTCGGTGCCTGCTTGAGCTTACCTGCCTTTCCTACATTTTCTAATCACAAAAAATGAAAACTCAAAATGCTACAAGAGGGGCGCTAACTACAAAAACTCCGCGGTCACAAACAAGATATTTAAAAACGTATGATGGATAAGACCAATTTATGAATTATATTTGTATAACTACTAATATGTCTTATGAGAATCTATAATTAATGCAAATACAAAATTCTATTTATTTTGTAATGTGTCCTATCTGTGGAAACAAAGCATCGACAATTTAGGGTTCTCGGTGTTCTTGTCCACACATACGAATTATAATGCTACACTGGAAAATAAGATTTAGCTGTAAACCACGGAAAATAAACAGAATCCTTAAGTTTTGTATTCGTATTATTATTCCGATGTTAATCGGAATTGACATTAAAAATGTATTATTGAGCTTTTAAGATGCACACTTTGCCAAATTGTCGATCGATTTTAATTATGAATTCATCAAAAGCAACTATAGGTCATACAAACATCGATAATTATTTCAAATTGAAATCTATGCTACATTTTCTTAGCTGCTGGGAAACTCTGAGCGAGAAGCTGATTTGAATTTTCAATGTAGTTTAATGTTTAGTGGTTCTAAATTTCAACCGCCATTGTGGAAGAAGGCTAGGCAATTTGTGATTAATTAAAACAGCCATCTTTCCCACTGTGAATGTCCAGAATAACTGAAATTGCGATATCAACATCTCCTTATGAAACCTATAATGCATAATAAACCATGCATAAAGCTTTTTAATAAAAAAAAAAATTAGGCAGGAGACAAATCAACAATTCTTTGGAAGACAGTATTATTTCTATCCAAATGAAGGCATTTGTATTCACGATGGACACTTTTAAAAGAACAAAAGTAGCCGTCTAGGTTATCGACATATGCTTTGGCGCTTTGCCTCAGGCGAGAAAAATAGACGGTAGAGTCTTATTTTATCCATAGCAGCTACGGACTTATCAGTGTCAATATTTTGTCTGACAAGGCTCAAGGCTAATCAGCTCATGCGATATCTAAGCTGTCACAGTGGCCAATGGTGTCACCTTTTGACATAATGGCTTTGGCATATTGACGATGTGAACAAGAGCCTTTGCTCATCATCACAGAGGTGGCGGGGATGAATCGCATGTAGTTTAAAATGATGCGCTTTCGACCTTCAACGGTCAGGAGACGGCGATCTCAAAGTGCATCCAGTGCTTTGAAAGACAAGGATAGCAGCCATGCAAAACAAGATTCCAAGCCGGTAAAGAAGAAGTCGGTGCAGTGGGCAGACGATCTCAAACGAGAACAGTTTGGTAGGCCACCTTTGCGAAAATACAACTCTGACGGTATCCTTGAGTTCGACCAGGCATTAAAGAAGCTTACCAGGGTATCAAGCATGTTAGAAACATCGACGACACTGGAAAAGGATTTTGATGAAGATTTACAGATAATTCAGAAAAAGCTTATGGCGGAAGTAGATCTGAAGAAGGCCGATGGAAAAACAGCAATTGAGCCTACCGGAGATTAATTCGAAACCGCTTGCTGCATGAATACTGAGTATTCACGCGGCATCCTTTGTTCATTTTCTAGAAAAGACAGAAAATAGTGTACTCGAATTGTTTTCATTGAGCAAGGATTATGACTTTTAACTCCGCTCTCTTGTTTGAAATTCATTGCAGATCTTAATCTAAGAAAATATATTTAATTTAAACAGAAACTGATGGCAGGTGCCGACCACCAGCTTAAAATTAAACTTAACTTAAATCGTAAAAATACTTTTTGTAAAAGTGATCGCGAGGTATCGGTGAATTAATCCTTTTTTGTGAAGAGCTAAATGCGTGAGATAATTTACTTTGCTTCGACGATCACGAGGTTTATATCTTAAACAATGAGTAAATCTTGGAATATCCACATGGTATTAAATTATTCAGCGGGGGCTTGCGTGCGAGATGGTTTTGGTGTCTGGCTTGTTTCCAAATTTTTCGTCGAACCCTTCTCGCACAGCAAAGAGAATTAAAGAGAATTAAAGAGAAACAAAACAAACATTTAGAGTCATTTTGAATAAAATTCCTCACGACTGTTTCATTATTTAAGAATTCTGTCTAAGAATATTTTAGTGGGCCTTAATTTTTTATTTACATAACAACATTCGAAGACCTTTTTTCAACTGTTGAATGTCTCATATCCCAAGGCCACAAGTACTGATGGGAAAAGGGGGGATAAAATTTTCAAATACAATTTGAAAAGATTTCATTTAAATCATATTGCAATGTGTACAATAACAATTCCTTGTTATCAATACCCCCCTATTTTTCTCATTGACGTAAGTTTTTCTTTCTTTTTTTTCTTTTTTTTTTTTTACATAGGAATATAAGTAAACGTATTGTTAGTCCTTGTTATGTACTGCAGTGTTGTTATTGTATCACAATAAAAAAAATAAAAAAATAAATGATAGGTTCAGCCAATAACTTGAACAGTCTGTGTAGTTTCATATTCTGACTCGTTTATTTTGATAAGTGGGGTGGTTTGAGTGTTTGTATGTGTGCGTTTCCTGTTTTTCATTAATATTGAAAGAGTTACGACGTTTAGAGATGTCATTCCTCAGGCTACAATAAAATAAGTTCTAAGGCATTTTGTAGGCTGTCGGAAGGCAAGGGACCGCCACTGAAGTTCTGTAAGGCTATCCTTTCTCAAATGTTTGTTTTCTTGCCAAAGAGACGAGGCTTGCCTCTCTTGTATTTCAATAGCAAATTAATGCCATTTTCAAATATTCAAATTGAATTACATTTCAATAACAAGAAAAAAAGATAGTTCTTCTGATCCTGAATTTCCAACATCGCATTACCATTACTATGTAAAATAAATCCTTATTTTACACTTTAAAGTGCAAAACTTGCTATGTACCATGCGGCTGTTGTAATAAGCTTAAAAAAATGTTACCGATGTATTGTATTGCTGTATTCACAAATTTGGCTTATTCGTCGCAAAGGACGAGTGTCTATGTAGATAGGTGCTTATTTTAGCATTACTCAATGTCCTTATTTCCTTGCCCAAAGAGAACCGTTAATGGTTATAATGCATCATACACCTATTTGGCTTAATGGTCAGCAAGAGTCGAATATTACTCGTAAATAATTTCATATTCATGCACAGCGTAGAAAAGTAAGCTATGGAACAAGATATTTTTATTTATCAGCTCAGTTGATTGTGTAAATGGGCCGCCGCATTTTGTTTTCTTTAGCTGAAGTCTCAAGCGTTAGAGCCTCCTCAGAGCGAAAGCCACAGAACGCCTAATGAACGCATTAAGGTTCATGTAATTGGGCTCTGGTACCTCTCTCCATTTATGCATACTTTATAGAAAATACTTTATAGAAACCTCACAGGTGGAGCGAAAGTTATCTTTGGCTTAGCCAGACGGGAGTTCTTCCCAGAAACCCCTTAGGGCAAAGTGCGTATGATTTTTGAGTATATGTCAACCAGTTTACATAACAACACTAACATTTTCTAACGCGCCGCTGACTACGAAATTCTTGTCTCTTGAGCCCTCAATGACCGCTTTTAGTCACTACTGTATACGTTTGAGGTACGAGTACTCGTAAAAGGTTATTGGATTCAAATATCGGAGATTGCTGTCATAAAGGTAAACTGTAAGTTTATATGAAGATATTCCAGGGAGGCTTGATTCTAGGTAGAGATAGCGTGCAGTACAATTTTAACACATTGATCTCTAGTCCGGTTGATTACCCCTGTCGATTCCTTGTCGATTACCTAAGGCATCAGCTTCGAAAATATGATTTTTCATACAAAAGTTGACGTAAGTTAACTCCAGAACTTCATGATTCTTCAGCTTGCACTATGATTCGACGCAGATTCGCTGGGGTCAGCCTAACTGTGAGCGTGTGTCTTGAAGTACAGTGTATTTTGCAAATGTCTCCCTCTTGGTTGAATCCGACATGACTTTTGAGGTCAAATAATTGCTGGTAACCAAACGCTTAATGTGGACTCGAATTGGCTACATGAAATCCAGGATAGCGATCATATTTTAATGCATTTATTTAGCCTAATTTATTTTCTTCCTAACGAAAAGTTTATATTTTCCACCGGATTTTACAGTCGCTCAACCATCCCCGGATGTTTTTCCCCACAGGAAAGCTATTCTTTTAATTTGCCTCTGTTTCCTTGGGGGTGGGGTGGGAAGAGGAACACTTTGCACTCTGATCATACAGGGTTTGATTCATTTGCTTACAATCACTGTAATGCACTGCATTAAAATTGCTATGAAATAGTGTTCTCTGGCTCCACAATGCAGTGTGGGAATGCATCTGCAATTTCAGGGCTCAACACTAATTTTTCAAATTACTAGCCAAGTGGTTAGTGACATCTTAGATGTTTTTAGATCTTATGATAATTTCAGTCTGTTTACTAGCCAAACTGGCTAGTGGAAATTGAAAACCACTAGCTAAGACTGAATTTCTACTAGTCTGTGGCTAGTGGGCTACCGTTAGTGTTGAGCCCTGAATTTGTTTACATGTCAAATCTAACTGCATTCGATATCACTCTGTATGTCATTTTCTTCAACAAGATGTCAGAGGTGCCAGTGGATAACATATTAGACAGTTTACAGGAGCCCATTCCTAGAGTTGGTGTGACAGATGCTGAGAGGGAACTTGCAAACAATGCTCATGTTGAATTTGAAAATAAACAATATGATAGGTAAGAAATGAGATAATTCAGGCAAAAATTGTTCTTACATTTTGTGGCACAACTGTTTCTTTAGTGTACAGTGGACTTGACCCCTTTGAAAGTTTCTACTAAATACACTTGAATGGAAGGGGTGCATGGGAAAAAGTATTTAACATGACTTCGGACAAACTGCTAAATTCTCCTTCCAAGGTGTCTCACATTACCTTTTGAAACAGAGGAAGAAGTTAATGTTGCATCAGTCTTTCACAACTTAACACTACTCACCCACTTTTACTTTGGAATTTGTAATGTTTTTATTTTTTTGTTGTTGTGGACAGTATATAATTTCTTACAAATCCAAGATCAATTGTATGAAGTTGTAGCATGTTTTAATCTTACCACCCCTGTAGTTTTATAACAAATGGACAAACTCATTTTGCCTTTGTTTCAGATGTTTGATGTCATTAAACAAGCTTTCAGAATTAAGGAAAAATGACCCAAAGGTTCAGCATAACAATCTAGTGGCACAGTTTTATCATTCAAGCTGCAGAGGAAGTGAGGAATTTGCCCATAACTTACTACAGCTAAGGAGACAAGTGAGCATTGCACATGTTCATGTAACATTTAGTAATCAAGACATACAGGGAGGATAAAAGATTCAGTCTGTACTTGAGCCATGTGACCTATCCAGTTTCCATAACATGAAGCAACTATTTAATGAGTATTACTACACCCTTGGGTGGGATGCTGTCCATAACCCCCTCCCTCCCCTCCCCAGAATTTTATCATGCTTCCCTGACAATTTGCTATACTACTGGGTGGAGAGAAGCACCTTGAGAGAAAAGTGTTTTGCCTTAGAACACATCGCAGTCAGGCTAGGTCTTGAACCTTAACCACATGACATGCTCTGAAACTGTGAAATCCAGGGTGCCCACCCAGCATGTGCTTAGTATGAAAAAACTAAACTTCCCGAGTCGCCGAAGAGCAAAAGTAAGGCACTGGGGGCCACTGGGTGCTGCTAGACCACAGCCTTGATGTTATTGTTATTGTTTCTTTAATGTGTACAACCAAGTGTTCACATTTCTACAAAGTTCATGCTTTCATTATTTTCTATGAATTATTTATAGTACTGTTTATTTTACATTTACCAGAAATAAATGTCACTATAAATTCCCATAATCATTGAAAGCGAGCTTGAAGATCATTTCACCCATCTTGATGAATGTGATAGAAAAATTAATGTCTCAAAATATTTCCTGCCAGAGGGTCTGTTAACTAGATTGGCTTTTCTATCGCAATATTTACAACAGTCATGTTAATGATTTGAATTGTCTAGATTGAAAAAGACAGTGGTGAAACTGGAGAAGAATTAGATGACATTGACACAGCCCATCTGCTCTACAATGAGTCAGTTATATACTTTCATGTGAGTTTGTAGAGCTGATATTCTACTTTTTTTTTTTTTTTAAGCTTGGAATCTTAGTTAGCCAACTGAACATGTTGACAAAAGCATATTTTAAATTTACTCTCGATGTGTATGGAATTCAGGGTGCTAATTGTTGATCAGAAGATTTCTCTTTATTAATGTATGATAATTACTTTGTGAATTTATCTTACTACAAATGAGGAATTTTTAAATCTTTTTTCTGGAATTTTGGTCTTAATTATTAACAGACATTTCGACTAAAACCATCAGTCTTCTTCAGTGTAGTTTGTCACATGGTAGATCACTATCACATGACAAATGTCGGGGAACTGGAACAAGGGCCCAGTCCCAAGTGTGAGACAGAGAGGACGGTCTGTTAATAATTAAGACCAAAATTCCTGAAAAAGATTTAAAAATTCCTCATTTGAATTGAACCTGGATGAATGACAATATTCACTTTTATCTTACTACAGTTACGACAGTACACAAAGGCATTGCAGATCCTTGAGAGGTTGTTTAAGATCGTCGAACCTCTGGGTATTTAAAATGTGGATCTAAACTATTTCATTGGTAGAATCCAGCTGTTACAATTACAATTATTGCATTTGAAATCAGTAAAAGGGAGTTGCAAACATTTATAATTTCCTTTGGGATTTTCATGCTTGGGCAAGATACATGTAGCATTTTTGTTGTGACTAATTCTTTCACACCTAAGTGATAGAAAATGAATTTCTCCTTACAAGATCAATAGTTTCTCATTAGCAATAGGTGGTGAGAAAAGAGAAAGATTAAAGCAGGGAATTGGAACATTGTATGGTGTGACAACAAACTCTCAGGGCTAAAATATTGCACAACTTTGCATTTAGATCTTCCTGGTAAACAGATTACAGTGACAATATGATGATTCCAGCTCATGTTATTGGTTTACCCTGTTGGTATTTCTTGTTCCACAGAGGAGTCTCTTGGATATAAAATCTGCTTCTTGCTCAGTGAAATTTACTTGACACTCTACAAGGTACAGTGTAACATGATTGTAATACATGTACATGTATAATGCAGTTCTCTTGCTCTGTTAGCTTTCTTTGATGGTTGAAAGCTTACTTTTCTCAAGAGCAAGGGATATAATAAACATTTTCCAGCTATTTAACAATTATTCCACAAGCGCATGTTGGATATGAGATGATAGATAGCCAACGAGGCGCTACGCGCCTCGTTGGCTATAATCATCTCATATCCAGTAAGGGCGAGTGGAATAATTGTTTTATTAAAAACGTTAAATTAAATTATTAAATTTTATTAAATTTTTAGCTGACATATACGCTTACCATATTTGTAGATTATGGTATATTGGCTGATATACCATAATGGCTAAGCCAACAAAAAGTCTTGAATTGCATTATCCAATGATCTAGTTTTTAATAATTTTAGATATGCATATAATATGATTAAGGTATGTCCTTATATCTTTACAACATACATGTACAGTTGTATGCAAAGCTACATGTACAGCCAATGAGAAAAACATTACTATTTTATAAATATGTTACTGAAAAATTTCAATATTTTACATATTTACACCTGTGACAGTAATTGATTACATTTATTTATAGTTCATTTTCTAAAAGAGTATTTCTTGCATTATTTTACTAGGCTGATAAAGGTCACAATGTTCTAACAGTGTTGGAAGCCGTGGCATTTGGATCAAATAAACCAGTAGAGGTACAGAAAATTTGTTAGAAAATTTTTCCATTACTGGAGTAAAAAAGAATGAAGAATTCTTTATGCAAAAAAAATTCAGAACAATCCACTACAATCACTTGAGATTTTGGATCACAATTTTCAACGTTCCTGTCTTTTTACAGGTAAACTGTAGTGTCCTTAGTCATGTTTATGTTGTTCTGTATTAAAAATGAAGGATAAGAACTAATAATAACCGTGAATTTATATTGTTAATTTTGAAAAACAACTCCCTGAAACAGAAAAACCCTGTTGGCAGACTATGACTGACAGTTGGTAATCTGTTGGAGATTTGCGTGTAAGTTTTCTTACCAAAAAGAGTTTTGGAAAGCACTTTAGGGCAATTCTACGTGCCTCACTGTTCAAAACTGTCTGCAGCCTGTTGGTTATCTATGAGCCAACAGTTGGCCAGCAGCCAGTAGAAGTGAGCTGTTATTCACAACTAGCTAAATGTTACTCTGTAAAAATCACCCTCAGTGTACTGTTCATTTTTGTTCAAGTCTCAAATGATTCAAGGTGGTTTGCAAGTTCAACTTGGTACTGGAGGTCAAACTGGACCACAACCCATAAAGGAGGTTGATGAGTCCTTAAAACTACACATACATCAGGTACCACAGCATATGAAATTGACAGAAGAATTCAACTTATGATTGTTTCCATATGCACATACACCCACAACTGTATTGAAAAAATTTGCTTTTCTTCCAGCATAAAGCTCGGTTGAATATTCTACTAAAATCAATGAAAGCCTGCAAGCGTGAAATAAAGACAGTCCTGAACACGAACAATGCGGTAAGCATTTACTGTTCTCATTATTCATCTGCGAAAACTGCTTTGCAAAGGAAGGAGAACAGCACAATAGAGCCTGAAAAAGCGTCGCAATTTTGAAACAACTTTTCATTACAAGCAGTTCATGCATTAGGCAGGGTACCAAGGGGGAATCCAGGGATGATTCAGGTGGTTTGGTCGAGCTCCCCACACTGAACTGACCCAGTTATCCCTTAAAAACATTGGAAATAACGTTTTCTTAAGACCTTTATTTCAACATTCTTGGGATTGCCCTCTAACCCCGTAGGATGTTTTACCTTTCGTTAGACATTAAACCCAACTCCTCTTCACTTAATCTTCGGTCCACCCCAGGTAACCCTCTTATTACTTATGAATAAAGGCTGATAGTTTCGAAAGAAACTGTTTGGGGCTGCGTCGGTGGGAGTAACGAAATAATTTGGATATATCAACAAAGTTTAAATGGTAAATTGGCCATCGTAACGATTACAAAAGCTGACGTTTCGAGCGGTAGCCCTTCGTCGGAGCGAATGGGTCACACAACATCGCCTATCATCGTGTTGTACCAAAGGTTTGAAAATTGAAGTATATATCCCTAGGGGAATGTTCTCTCGTGTAACGCACCTGGACCAATCTACTGAGTGCGAAAATACTTCGTAGAATACGATCAGGCTGATTCACTGGTTAGGAGGTCCAGAGTCATGTATATTGTACCATACACAAGACAAAATATGCAACCTCCTACGTTCGATAGACTTCGCACTAACAGCATTCTTTCCTTAGACACCAGAAGGACTTTTCCTCAAGGGCAACTTCGAATTCCTGCGTCAGAATTTTCGGAAATCCATCAAGCTGCTTAATAGTGCACCAAAACCGAACGATCTGGCAGATCGAGGCCAGTCAGTGAGCACGATGTATTACAACAACTTGGGATGTATTCACTTCCAAATGCACAAGTACAACTTGGCTGCTTTCTACTTCAGAAAGTCTTTACAGGAAAATAACAAAGCCCTTTCCTCGCTTCCTCCTGCTGACAAGAGTATGTTTATTTTACATGTTTGTTTCTTTGTTAGTTAGGGAGAAGTGGTTTCGACGGTAATCGAATAAACACTTTCATTGTAAATAGTTCAGCACTTTTCGTTAGTCAGTCAAAAGGTCGTCTGCATAGTCTGGCATTTTTGTATTAAAGGATACTATTGTATCAAGGCTTTTGTGGGAACGAAAACGCTAAATCCCTTTGAACATTATTCGAGAAAAATCCCTTACTCTCTTTGACTAGAGACGCTTAGTATCCAATAGTTTTAAGTGCATACAAATTGCCATCTTTTTATACTTATTGGGTGGCTTATTGATTTCCAGTTGAGGGCTTCCATACCGGAAAGGCAGCACCCACGGAGAGATGGGAGGGGGTGGGGGTGTGAAGGGAGAGGGGTCGCTTGGAAAGAAATGTGCGCTATACATTAGTTGTAACAGAAAATTGTTTCCATGAAACTATTACCTTTGTAGATGCCCCTGTATCCAGCCGCGCCTTACTGACCCTTGGTGTTAGCCGCCGTCACGAGATCCTCTATAATTTGGGAATTCAGCTGCTGTTTTCTGGCCGACCTGTTGTAGCTTTTGACTGCCTGGTTGAAGCTGTTCAAATATACCACACAAATCCTCGACTGTGGCTTCGACTTGCTGAGTGCTGTGTTGTAGCTTTTCAGTTGGTAGGTAGCATCTACGCGTTATTAACCAAGCGTGAGGTCAAGATGGCTGGATATTGACCGAGTTCTTTTTTTTTGCATTTTTATGGACCGAGACGAAGTCGAGGTCCATGAAAATGTAAAAAAAGAACGAGGCTAATATCCAATCATCTTGACCAAACAAGCTTGGTTAGTAAAGGATTTATTATATTGCAAAAAGATTTCGCTTTATTAAAAATTAAGAATGACTCTTTTACTTCGAGAGCCGAGAAAGAAAGCCAACTGTGTTTGTAACACAACGAACACACGAAGGTCGTTTCTGTTTTCTTTGTTTTGACTATCTTCTGCCGCTTTTTGCGTTTCCATCGCCGAAATTGTCCAAGAATTACGAACGTAGTTCTAATTCAATTTTTTTTCACGCGCGGGATCAATGCAGACAATCCTGAGCGGGCAAGATGGGCCCATCTTGCCTGGTCGAGTAGCCAATCAGAACACAGGACTCGCTACATCTTGCCCACGGGCGCTGAGCGATGTAATAAACTTTATTACTGACAACGTGCTCAAAGGCTTTATTTATTCACTCCGTCATTTGGATAAGAAATCATGGTTTAACTTTAAACGACGTTTGGTTAAGGTATTAAATTTTAAATTTAGCTTCTGGTGCTATCTTTCTGATCTTCTTCGCGTTCAGAATGGTTAGAGGCTTAAAGTTAATGTTATAAGTGTTATAAATGTTATAAGTTAAAGTTAATGAGATCCATAAGCACTTTGTCAACCTTTAAAAAAGTAGTCCGACAGCTAAGGTTTTAGCTAATTCTCTATATTATCTTTCTAGTAATTATCTAGTCAGTAATTAAATTTTATCTATTTAGTAATTGAACATTATCTATTTAGTAATTAGGCTTTTTATTGCAAAAGTAGCTATTGTCATGTTATTCTAGGATCTACTCTGTAAATAAGTTTTTAAGGTTTGTTTTCTCGGCTTATTAGTATAGTTTCCTTGCTAGGGGTCTAACCAACCCCATCAACCCGAGGTTAAATAAAGTTAAAAAAAAAATGCAAATAAACGCACTTGTTGCGGAGGGAATGAGCTCGAAATTTCCTTGCATTGCACAGCACCCCTTTCTGTTTTTAGGTTTCTTGTTTTTCTGTTTTTTTTTTTACACTCAGCGCCATGCATGTATCTGGGAGAGCGATTCAGTCTCTGAAGTTTATGGATAACACACATTAAGCTTTATCTATTTTCAAGGTGCTATGGAAGTGATAACTAAAAGAACACAGTATACCATCATTTACGACGTTAAAAATTTCAATTTAAGTTGAGGACCTATAAGGTGGAACAGTTATATTTATGTTCTGTGATTTATTTTTTTCTCTTTGCACAGTCTGACGACTTTAGGCAACAGTGCATCAAGAAGAGCGATGTCGTTCAGGATGTTGTAGGTTCAGGGCCGCATCGTAAGATTGTCCTTTCCCCTCAAACTGACAAACAGTGCGGTACTGAGTAAGTGGAACAATAGGGGCATTTTTTAGTTTATTTTATCTCCGCAACTCCCCTCTGGTTTTATGGAAACACTCGGCTTCTTTCTCAAAGATAAGTTTCTTTTTCCTTTTTTTAATCTGAGCCTACTAATTTCTTTTTTTAAAAAGTTGAGAAGGGGCCAGGGGGAAGGGGAAATTTTTCAACAATTGTGTCGAAGATTTTAGTTTATTTTATTTTTTCACTTTGAAAACTGGTAAAGAAGAACACTCTAAAATTTTATCGCTCCCCACGTGTGACCTCGTAGCTCAGTTGGTAGTAGCGTCCAGCCAGTATCTAGGAGGGGACGGGTCCATTGGAGCCTGAATTTTTCAAGCTACTTTCTCTTCGTGAAATTTAAAACTGTAGATGTCAAAGAAGCTACTTAACGGTTTGGGCGTCAAAACAACTTGGCCATCATTCCGCTCTTTTGACCTCATTCTTCGTGATCACTGTATCTATACAAATCAAGCAAGGCGCAGGAACAACCATTGCAATCCAAGTTGCATTTCCTTTACAGAGAGAACAAAGGTCAGTCTGCTGCAATGCCAGCCTGTACACTTGCGTTTGCTTCTTTGTGTCTTCAAAATGCTCTGATGTTGTTGAAAAGTGCAGAGGTAACACAAGTCCATGAAACAGAGAGTGTGCTGGAGAATCAATCAGGGAAAGAAGATGATTCACTTGGCCAGGAAATGGACGCTTCAAGGTATCTAACATGACAAAACTCACCCTAAAAGTATGCAGAACGTGTGTCGCGTGTAAATCTTATTAGTGGCTCAGTGGTAAAGCATCGGTTAGGAGAGTCCAAAGGTCTGAGGTTCGATTCATCATAAGGACTCCAAATGTCTGAAAGACTGAAAATCGTGTCTCTTTATGCCAAGGCTTTGGGAACATTTTTTGTTACCGTCAGGTTTACTGCCTTGCGGCCTTTCAAGACAAAATTAACATGGAACCAGGTTTCAGTGCAATACGTTTTCCCCGTAATTCAGGTCACCAAGGTTTGCATTAATTATGGCATTGATTTTGAAGATCCTATAAAATTGTTCGCATGGAGGAAAAGAAAAAAAAAATCACCTTCCTTCCTTCTTTAAGATTGACAGTCCTTCCTCAGAAGATCACTAGAAAGTCCTTCGTAACTTTTCCTTAAAACATGTCATAAGACAACAAGTTGTAATAGCAATACAGCACATTTATCGGTGTATATAAAGCCAGTTTTCATTTATATTCACATAATTGTGTCATGTTGCAGTGACATTGGTGGCTTAAGTCGGTCCTCCTCAGTTCAAAGTGAAACAAGTATCCCAGCTCCCCCCGGGCCACCAGTAAAACTTCGTGAGGTTCCACACTTGAGGTGAGCGTACATAGTAGTGGCAGCTTGGAGCAGTATGTCATAGGATTTAAAACCGAAACAAGTCTCAACTTGTGCAGGTTTTGGTTGGCAATTGAAATGTTTTGTTATGAAATGAAGAGAGTAAGACGTCGTTATATTCCGAGGAATGTTCTTATTGCTGGAAAAAGAGGACTTAGATAAACTTACATATATTTATTTATCTATGTTATTCCTATTTGGTTAGGGTCTATTACCGTTTCAGTGCGTGAGTTTATCATGAGCAACAGCGGTTGCGTATGGAGCCTTAGGATTAGAATTTCTTCTATCCATGTTCTAAACGAGTTGAGGACAGGACACGAATGTCTGAAATCGATTGGGTTCGATTGGTTTGAAACGGGAAAGATGCAGATTATAAAATTTTGAATGCGATTAGAGAAAAAGGTAGTCAGCGTTGGTTACGCCTCAAAGAGAAGAAAGCTTGGTAGAAATTTAAAGAACGCGTATACCTCCAACCTTAACCTTAAGATATCTCATCTTGAAATAAACATGTTCTTCTTGAAATAAAGAGTCTCTCTGCTTTATGTCATTGCGTTGAAGCCTTAAAAATGTCCTGGTTCCCTTGCTAGAAAAAGGCTAAAGTATAGACCGCGTTTGGTGTGAGTTTTCGTTCCTAGTCCCTTGCTCATAAACAGCATGGCTCGATTTCCTTTGTGCTTTTTGCTGATGTTGATTAATGATGTTTCGTGTCTATCAGGTGCTCCATTCTAGCGTGCAGTGCCTATGTCGCGCTGGGATTGGGAGACAATGTGATGGCCTTAGTACATGCGCAGAAACTTCTCTCACAATCCAATCTTGTAGGAGCCCTCAAGTAAGTGGAATCGTAACCGTAATCACGGTAGCCATCACATAAAGCTTTTCTTATCTGTTACTGGGATCTTCATACATGTAAATACTCAATGTTTGATTGTCTGCTCCCTTATCATAGGTTTCTCGGTCATCTTTACGCTGCCGAAGCTCTGATCAAACAGAATCGTTTACCGGAAGCCATCATGCATTTGTCACCTGAGAATATCAGCAATATAAATATCATCCCAGCCAGTACTTCAGCGGAAGGTATTTATTTGATATGCAAAGTTTTGGTTGTTAATATACGAGCAGCTGCACACCCACCCCTCCCCTAAAACAACATTAACCTTAACTTGTTATCAGTTGACTGTGGTTGCGTGAGTTAAGGAAGGGGCAGGTGCGAAGTTACTCAAATAGTAACCTTAATCCGACTTTTGCATATTTTTCTATATGGTATTCAGTTTAGTTTTACCCAAATTTGTATTATTTGCTTTGTTTGTTCGACCGTCATGTTTCGATTTTCTTTCGTAGTTGGATCGGGGGAAAATGTCGATAAGGACAAGGAAACGACCAAGCCTCACGGTAAGAGAAATTCCCTCAAGGTAATAAAAATCCCTTCCCCCCCCCCTATTTAAACACCTCTAGTCACTACTCTCAGTTATCAGCCAGACCCCGGATGTTCGAAGGGTGCATAACGCTATTATCACTATAGGATAAATGTCTTTCCAACGGATAGCACTGTGCGATTTGCGAGCACTTCTCCGCTGGAATGCGATGCATCCGTTGGAGAGCGTGATTCGCCCTTTGGACAACCGGTCCCTGATGTCTTTTCCCTGATGGTTAATGGGGGATGAAGCAACTGGGACTGTTGCTTCTGCGGGTGAATGAGATGCAAGTCCATAACTGCCATTTTTAGGTTATGGGAATGGGTTAGTTTCTCGATATACCAGTAATACCCATCTAAATTCTTGGTTGGAGGAAGGTGCTTTTAGAGTGAATTCGTGGAGAGCAGGGGTGGTCAGGGAGCTCGCTTCACACTGCTTTGACTTGGGTCAGACATAACAAGCTCGACCCCAGAACCTGACGTTCCATCTGGGTCGAGTTTGTTATGTGTTGTTGTCCTTACTCTAAGGGGTTTTTTTTCGTGCGTTCTGACTTTCCGCTTTCCAAAAAACTTACACTCCTAATTCAAGCTTCGATCCGTTAGACAGAGGATGAAGAGTCGTCCCGTGCCGGAAGTGCCACCGCAGGAATTCATTTTATTGAGTTTTTTCAGATATGCTAGATGAAGAGGGGAAAGTGGCTCGTCATGACCACACCCCAATGAAGCTGGCCAAGATTCCAACGCGGAACCTGTGGCGCGCGGAACGTAAGGCGCGCCCGTAATTTTACGTTTCCTTGTCTGTTTATTTAACAGCTTGTGAGAAGATGACTTTTCCAGAGTCTTTGAATGAAGCCCGTTCCTCGTTCCTTGTTAATCTAGCCGGGGTGTACAGTTTACAGAGCGAGTTTGATAAGGCACGGAAGTGCTTACAACAGGTAATTCATCTTAACTATGAAATTTTTACTTAGAGTTCCCTCAATAAGAGTTAGTCAAGCATTACAGGTAAATATACCCAAAGGCGTTAAGTGCAACTAGTTAGATTCACAGCAAAAAAAGTTAGCCATTCAGCGAGTTATACATGGCAGTTAACCTCGACTGTTTAAGTTCATTGAAACGCTAAGTATAGTGTGTGTGACCAGAAACAAAAAAAGGGGATACCTTGGTCTTGGTGCGATGTGATGTTTATAACCGTTGTATTCATTGAGCCTTGGGGGGAAAGAAAAAGACGCATATCCCTGAGAGTTTATCAAGCTGTTTGTGTGTTCAGTTGTGTGGTTGTAGACACGGAGGTCAATACCTTATCTGCCTCTTCCCCTCTTCCCCCCTATCCTTCCCCCTTCCCCCCTCCCTCCCCTTCCCCCTCTTACCTTGACCCTCTGTCTCTCCTCACTCCCATCTCTCCCCAGGCAAAAACATAAGTTCGTCTTAAAATACGGGCAGAGCGCTTGAGGTTTTGTCCTTTCAGTTTTATTTTGTGCTAAATCTCGTTAATCACCACAGCTTTGTTTATTCTATAGGCTTGTTCTCTCGGTTATCCTAAAGACTTGTCTGCACGTGTTGTTTTACTGTCTGTGTACATAGAGCTTCAAAGCGGTGAGTGTCTTTTCATTACTTTCTACTGTCAATAACTTCAAGCGTGCTGCAGTACGTTTATACCCCTATCAGGACACATGGGGAAGTGGCAAAAAAGAAAAAAATGATAAAATAAACTCTCTTTCCTCATTTATTTAAACCCTTTATATCTGGCTCACGCTTCCTGATGTATTAACTCTTTCACTCCCAAGATCTCATCAGTAATTCTCCTTACTGTCTGCAATACAATTCTTTGGATATTTCCAGAAGGTCGTATTAGTAGTCTCTACTGGGATAAAGGAGCACTCGGAAAGGGATAAAAACTCGCATATTTTTAAGCATTTCAACACATCTTCTTGTAAGAACAAATACTCCCTCTCTTGCTTTAGTATTCTGGATTCTGCTAACAACTCAATTGATTTAAAACTCAAAGAAGCTTTCTATATAAATAAGATCAAACCTGAACTTAACAAACAATTACAGCAGTATAACACTTTTCTAGCGTTTTAGTTCAGACCTTTGTTGTGTGGTGTCACGTTGTAATTAGTACCCGCTTTTTTATTACGTCATACTGTAAATATTTTATTCATGTACTTGTCTGTTATATAATTACTCACGTTCAGTTACTCATTGATTTCCATAAGGTCGCAATAATGGCAAGTACGATAGATATTGTAAGAAATATACAACTTTTTTGAAAGACATGTTTCGGCATGCATATGCCATCTTCAGTCAATGAGTAACTGAGTGTGAACAATTATATAGTATACAACTAGATGAATAAATTATTTACAATATGATGTAATACAGAAGCGGGTACTAATGTTTTGGTGTCAATCAATTATTTACAATATAATATAATACAAAAGCGGGTACTATGTTTTGGTGTCACGTTGTAATTAGTACCCGCTTTTGTATTACATCATACTGTCAATATTTTATTCATCTACTTGACTGTTATATAATTACTC